GCAGGAGCTTTTATCTGCTGAGCTATCTGGTCAGCCCCTACAATCATATAAACTATTAATAGACCTATCATATGAATCCAGGTCTACCCTTCATCAAAGGCCATTCTCTTTCTCTCTTCTTCTCTCCTCTCTCTCTCTCTCTCTCTCTCTCTCTCTCTCTCTCTCTCTCTCTCTCTCTCCCTCTCTCTCTCTCAATATAGTACACTTAGGGATCCCAACGCAGGTGTTTATAAGAAAATGGAATATCTTAAATATTATCAGAAAGATGCCATATATTATAGAAAACAGGAGATGTTTTCTATAAAACATCTCCGCACCAAAAAAAAAAAAAAAAAAAAAAAAGATAGAAAAATCCAGCTATTCAAGTGCTTCTATGGTTATAGAGGATCTGATACTGAAATATTTACAGTTCTCTGAATCTATAGATTCAGATACTTCTATTCTTCCATGATATTTTTTCAGCTTCTGTATGCACAATATGATCTTTCTCTCCTCCATTTTTTGGAAACAATGTTTTGTTATATAGTATGAGCCCACTTTGAACTCAGTATGTAGCCCAGGACTGGCCTTGAACCTGAGACAATCTTCCTGCTTTAGCCTCCTGAGTGTTGGATTATATGTGTGCACCACCATGGTTATTTAAGCTCGTTTTCTTCAAGTGTGGAGTTCATTAGAAACTTTCTGTTGCCATCACCGACTGTTGAATAACTTTCCGTCTTACTCTTTATCCATCTTTCCCACGAAACTAATTGCATAATACAGGGCCAGATACACAGGATTTAATATTTTTAAATTGGTGAGAAGTGTTGGATTTTTATAAGTTACTTGAGCTGGGCATAGTGGTGTAATCCCAACACTCTGCAGGCTACAGAAAAAGGATGGTCATGAGTTGTAGGCCAACCTGGGCTACAGAGGGAGTTCAAACTACATATGGAGACCCTGTCTCAAAAATAAAAATTGAACTTATTTATAGAAAAGAGTGAATAGATGAGATATTATTATACCTAAATGCTATTAGTATTTAGCTTATACTAATGAGCTAAAAAGTAATAAAACATTCAAACAATCCCAAAACTTATTCAGTGGAAAGTAATATTCATTCTACCCTTCACAGATACCTGGTTCCTATCCCAAGAGGCATCCTTGATGACTAGTTCATTCAGACATTTTTATAGAATTGCACTGAAATGAACCTTAGTGCAATTTAAATTTACTCCAAGGAATATTATTATTTTATAAAATTTTAATCAGTTTGTTTATTTTCTTGAGAAATACCAATTTCTCTCAAATCCATATAAAGGGAAACTCAAATGCGAACTTCTGGAGTATGTGAAGATGGCAAGACTGACAGCAGGGAACGGTGCTAGTTTCTGTGTCCACAGACAGCATCCGATTAAGCTATCTGATTCTGTGCAGTTTTATTTAATTCCCACTCCTGCTGTTGGCCTTATGAGTTCTACATAATACTTTGCCTGATATTTGATTATTTTTTATTGTGCAATTCATGGAAGAGAGTTGGCATTCAGTGAGTTGAACAAGACAAATGATTTTCCCTTTCTTTCAGCAAGATGGTTGAGGTCACTCTAACACAATTCACCACAGCTGGAGACAAGAAGGTGCTTTCTGAAGGAAAAATAGCACTCTTCCCAGTAGTTTTTGTCAGACAGAAGTCTGCCACAGCCCTGGCAGACACATCATCCTAGTACTTTCCCAACAAAACCTCTTAAAGGTACTGGAAAATGGGCCCGGCCTGCTGTCAGGATGCTAACCTGCTCTAATTATGTGAGCTTTTGTCATAGCACTGCACACTGAGACTTCAATGTTGCTGAGAAATGACACTGGAGATTTCATTGCTTAAGATGGTAAAATCAGGGGGCCGGGGAGATGGCTCAGTGCAATAAGCACTTCCCTGGCAAGCGCAAAGGCCTGAGTTCAATCCCCAGTTCCACCAAAAAAAAAAAAAAGGAAAAATCAGGCTATTCAAGTGCTTCTATGGTTATAGAGGATCTGATACTGAAACATTTACAATTCTCTGAATCTATAGATTCAGATACTTCTATTCTTCCATGATATTTTTTTCAGCTTCCATATCTACACATTAAGTATATGCTCATTTTATTTTAAAAAGACAGAACTAATTGAGCAACAAAAAAATTACCCCAAATACCCAGGTTTTCTCAGAGCTTTTTACTAAAATATGTGAAGTCTAGGAATTTGAAAATTAAATAGTAACTATAGCTTTTCTCATGATATATTTTGGGAAAACAACTATTTTCTTCTTTTTCCTTGTTGTTATGTTTCTTGTTTTTTATTATTACACTGTGTTGAATAGAAGAGTTAGTGTCCAGACTATTTTTTACCTTTTATTTTGTTTAAAGCTGATGTAGGCATGGAACCTAATAGCGAGATAAATGTAGCCTTTGTTTCCACTGGGTCATCAATGGATGACACACCAACAGATAACTGAAGGGTTCTTCCTTCTCTCCTAAATCTTTGTTACTAAATTATTTATTTGTTATTCTAAGTCTTTGGTGTAGACTTGGTGGTCTCTCTGACTGTCAATGAGCTCTTTTTTAATGTGTTCTTTGTTAGTGCCTTCTTCTTGTTGCTCCTAACTCCTCAGTTTCCACTGGTAAGGCCAACCATGAGGGCATCCTGCCAACTTATCTACCCCAGCTCAGCCAACTCTTATTGCAATTCTCACAAACTGGAGGAAAGGCCTCACTGGGATAGGAAGTGATCTTAGAGCTCCTAGAGAAAATAGACCTCAACTCCTGCCATTTTCTTCCTATTTATTAGAGATATTATTTCTTGGTATTTAGGAATTTCCTTTTCCAAGTATTTGCCTTTCATGGTCAAGTTTTATTATTTTCCCTTCCCCTATTTAGCAGAATTTCTCTTTTAGAGATTGAATTCTTCTGGTGTTTAGAATATACTTGAAATAGGTGTTATATATATTAAAAAAATGGGGATTTGTCAAATGAATGAAAAAGGTAAATTTTTTTCTGAGTTTAATTGGTTAAATCAAATAAAAAGTAACAATGACATATGACTGCATCTAGCTCTGCTTACTAACTACTCTCCACCCACACATGGAAGGGTTTCTCTTCCTGGCATTTTTCATATGATGACAACTAGTCAGCGGTTAACACTAGACTGGTTTGACTTCCTATTTTGCCACTTAATAGTCTTATGACTGGGTGAGTTGATTGGTCTCTTCATGTCGAGTTTCATCTATAAAGTGAGAAAGATCATAGAAGTCATACCTACCCATTCACCCCATAGACATGCTTGAGCTAATACATATAAAACACCAAGTGTATAATAAGTGAGCTAATACATATAAAACACCAAGAAAGTAGCTGGAATAGCACTAAATACATGGTAGCTCTGAGGATTATATAGTTATTCTGTGGCTTAACAAAGACTGTGATTCAGAACAAAAAATGAGATCAAGGTATTGCACTTTTGCCTTGAGTACTAGGTCAATGAGCTTAAAATACCTCTTCTAGGAATACACTCAAGGTTGGGATCTAAATAAGAAAGCCATTATAGCTCTGAGTGAATCAGGACATGTTCTCTTGGAGCATATTTACAATCAATTGAATACTCAATAATCAACAGTAACAAAAATGAGCAAAAGATATTTAAATTAGATATATCTAAAGTCTTGTGACTTTAATTTGTCTGCAACTTATGAATCATATTTTCTTGGAATTAATTAAAATTTTATTTAGATGCTACAGAAGTTTCTTAATTTTGATTGAGTCACTACCTCTTTATAGTTGAGGATCTTGGCTAACTCCAAGGCAAATATTAAAACTGTCTATGAATGTCATTTTTTACAGCCAATTACTGTAAAATTAAATTAGAACTTTTTAAATAATCTGGTATTCTATCGATTTGATTTGAAACTGTCTTATTGCTATTTGTTTATCAATAAAATTATGGCAAAAAATAATCTGGTATTGGTGTGTATGTTTGCTAACTTATGCATTTTTATGTTAATTTGGTAAAAAAATTCAAATAAGTATTTTTTTAGCTATATTGTAAGATCAATGCTATCCATAAATAACAAACTAAAACTTCAATATCAGTAAACAAAATAAAGCAATATATTATTAATACACAATGTTGTCAACCATGCTAAATTAAGAAGAGACTAAAATGTTTCAAAAAAGGGACAGCTGGTGCCTGTATGCTGGTGCATGCCTATAATCCCAGGACTTGGGAGGCTGAGGCAGGAGGCTCACCACCAGGTCCGAGGCCAGTCTGGGCTACATAATGAGTTCAAGGCCGGTTTGAACTACAGTTTACCTTTCTTTTCCAGCTGCTGGATGACAGCATGCAAACACGTAAAAGATTTGGCCTATGTGTTTAAGTACTGGTGCTCAGCTTCTGGTCAGCACCAATTAGAATATAATTCCTGTTAAGGAACCACCTCTCATTTTGGGGGCACTAATTTGTATAAATTAGTTTTAAGTAAAAGTGACATTGTACAATTATTAGATGTTGGCCAAATCTAGAATGTCTCCTTGTTTCTGTGGTTACTTAACTGCTCATCCCTCATAATTAAAATACTCCTTTATTCCTACATGAGATGGAAAGTGATTTTTTTCCTTGAACACACAATCAAAAGATTTGCAGGAGCCGGGGAGATAGCTCAGTAGAGTAAGTGCTTGCCTGGCAAGCTCAAGGACCTGAGTTCAATCCCTGGTTCCGCTAACCAGGGATTGGGGGAGGGGGGGAGAAGAGATCTGCATAATGCCTTGTGAGGCTTTTTTCAGCTTTTCAGGTGTTTACCCTATATTGCTCTGAACAAGCTAATTTTTCTGGAAAAAAATGTACAGGTTAGGAGGAAAGCCTGGGCTATCATGTTGAATATCTACAAGCAATCCAATTATCTTCCCAGGCAGCCAAAGGCCCTGAGAAACAAGATACAGGTTCATTTGTTTGTTTGTTTTTCTGTCTTTGTTTTTGTTTTTGGTCCCGTGACTTACCCACAACGACAGCAGTGACAGTGAGCAGCACAAAAGCATTGCGGAACAGGTAACTTTTAACGTCCTCCTTTGTGATGTTCTGCACTTTCTTCTTCGCCAAAAGTGTGCGTTTGCGGACTCCTTGCTGGAATCTCTCCATCCTGCCGCCCATCCTGGGCTCTTCCCCATGGCTTTTGGTCATGTTTCAGTTTTCTGAGAGTGTCTCTTCTTTGCACTTTAGTGTCTTGGAATTACCTCAGAACCGTCAGATCTCCTCTGTGGTAGTAGAGAACACAACTAGAATAGGAGAGAAGGAGACAAGAGAAGAGTTACAGATTCCAGGGATGAGAACTCAGTGCTGCCCCACTCCATGGCAGGCAGTGGGCAAAATGCATAGTCTTAGGAGAAATCAAGGATTGGAGAGCCACAGTATGGGGCTTCCAGGCTAGAACTCACACACCGTATATAGGATCGTGTGTGAGAAATATGTATAAATTCAGAACGTATAAGTGGAAACTTGTGCTCTATTTCTCAAAGTTTGTCCTTTTCCCTCCAATGAGGCTAAAGAGAGGGCTCTGCATAGCCACACGCAGGGTGCATCCTCCATCCTCACCCTCAGAATTTAGTCAAGAGCTTTGCATAGTGAACAAGCTCAATAAATGTACAATTAGCTGTACACAAAGGCAGTACCCAATAACTAACAGATAACTCATGTGGTATAGGTGGTTGAAGGCACAACCAGGTCAATGAAACAGACTAAGATATTGATATTCAGCAAGTGAATGGGTTACATGTAGTAAAGTAACAGGTTATTTTCTTCATTAAGGGGGGAAAATAGAGTTGGGCCTAGTGGCACATACTCATCTTCCCTGCTAGTTAAGAGGCTATCACTGGAGGATTGCAAGTTCTAATACAGCCTCGAGAGTTTAAAGATTTAGAAAGCACAGTCTCAAAATAAAGAGGTGGGGGAGCAAGGTGTGGTATTGCAGACCTTTAATCCCATCAGGTGGGGGCTAAGGTAAAAGGGTTCCAAGTTCAAGGCCAACCTGGGCTACATAGTGAGACCTTGTCTTAAAAGAAGAAGGTGAGGCAAGGGTGTAGGTCAGGCAGGTCAGTGATTAGGGGCCCCCAGGTTATGGAAGGCTCTGAGAAGAAAGAAAAAAAGAATATTAACTAGTAAATAGCGTTATGAAAAGAGCACAAGTGCCCAGGGGATATGAGTAGTATATTTGTTTACAAGGTACCTTCTGGAAATTTTTTCCATGCAATAAACCAAGTGCCCCAGGCATATCTAGCAAATTATCTGAAATCATAATTCATTTTCATATTATTCTACACGGAAGTACAAAGTGGCGTTTGTCTTTGTGGCAAACACATTGGCGTCTTCTGAGGAAACTATCGTTGACTCTTAAGTATTTTAAACTTGAAGACTTCTACATGAAACGCTGAAAAGAATTCATTTTTCAATCCAAACAGTACCGTGTGTGGTTTCTGATTTCTTTAAAGCTCTCGAAGGTTATTCAAATGCAATCAAGAAAACCTTCTTTCCTTGCTGGAAATCAGCGGTTTCGGAAAACCCAGAGGTTCATCCCGCCACTTTACGGAAGTCGTAGAGCATAATCTTTGCCGCGATCAAAGGCCAGGCAGCGCCCGGCGCCTGCGGACTAGCGCGTCCGGCTGGGCGAGGGCCCGCGTGCGTGCGCCTCTATGGGGCAGGTAACTGGAAAGCCGGGATTCCTCGCAAGCTTTTGGCAAATCCACCGGCAGAAGAAAAAAAAAAAAAAAAAAAAAAAAAGATTTGTCCTAGCAGTTTGACTTTCAAACAAAATTGTGGATTAAGGTCAGGGATCTAAAAAACTACAATTTGTTCTAAGACTTTAAAAATCAGATTAAAAGTTTAGATCCAGAAGTGAAGAGGAGTGAGAAAGGGTACAGATTTTTTATTTTTTTATTTTAACTAAGTGCGCTGGGTCCCCTTTCCCAAGCAGACCGGCTCTTTCTCTTTCTAGATCTCCATTCACAACCTACCCCTAACCTGAGTGACTCCAAGTCCAAGTTAGGAGTAGGTCCGGTTTAGGCACCTCACGCTCGCTCCCCGCGTTCCATTCCCAGCGCGGACTTCGTCCACCAGCACCACCAAGCCAGCTCCCGCGCCCGCTGCCCGGCTGCCCGAGCACAAAATAGACCGCAGGGAAGTGGGAAGAGAAAGCAAACCCGGCCCGAACACCAGTCCTTACTCTTACCTTCGCTGGTTTTCCAGCGGGTGGAGGACAGCCCAGGCAGTGACAAGGAGAGGTCTCGGCAGCTACGACGGAGCAGCAGGACCCAGCTAGTAGCAGGCTGGCCAGACCCTCCTCGTGTGCTCGGAAACTGCAAGTTACTATCAGGGCCACTTAAGAAAAGGGGAGGAGCCTGGCGCGGGAAAGGGGGAGTGGGGAAACGAAAACTGCACCGCGGAGGCCGGGAGAGCCCTGGGGTTTCTGGAATATTGATTAACTTTTGGCTCACCAAAAGCAGGCTTGCTGGCGTAGACCACTTTCACGCTTTGTCAGCTCACTTTTCATTAGGAATTCAAGATCGGGACCAGGAACATTGGAAAATAAAGCGCGCACACACTCGGGAAAGCTGGAAGTCTTGATTAGGACGTTTTCAAAGGCTTTTCTAAGGCTAAATTTAATTACTTCCTATTATTGCAGCTTTGCTCCCTCCCCTCCGGGGAAAACGAGAGTGTGCTCTTTTGCCTGGTTGTACAACTGTTAGGAAAGAAAGAATTGAGAGGACAGATGACGTTTCTTGGAAAGATCCCCAACATAAATAGAGAAAATACAAACTATACTACTCTAAACTTGTCTAAAGTAACTCAACGTGCCTGTTTTAGTAGTTGGAACAGCATAATGACAAGCCTAATTGAGCTCTGGCTCCCTGCACTGCACAGACTGAAAAGGTAGGAAGCACAAAGGACCGCGCTCTTGGCCAGCATCGCTAAGAGCCCGAGTGCAGATGCACCCTTGAATCCTCCCGATTCTGGAAGAATGTTGCTCTCCAGATGCCTCGATTTTAGAGAGTATTGGACGGCCCCCACACACCACTTTTAGGAGTCAGAAGACTGTCACTGCTTTGAGAATACAACTTGCACTGTAGCCCATTTCTCTTAAAAGGAAACTAAATGGTGATAGAAGATATTAAAACATTATTTTTGATCCTGACTCACTCCCAAAACTTCAAACTTGTTATGCAGAAGAAAACAGCTTATAAGAAACCAAAATTTACGTCAAAAACATGGCCAGAGTTTTGTGCTCTTGTTCACTAAATTCCCCCTGCAAACTCTGCTCAGCTCGTGCGTCTGTTATCCAACATGAAAGCATGTGTCTTTGTTCCTCATTAGCAAATCTAGGGAGTTATAAAGAAATAGCTCCTGACATCTTCAACTGCTGTGTATGGTTGTGCTTCTGAACAGCTACTGGTTGGAGAAGAGCAGCGAAGCATGTGATTGCCTTAAAATTTCAAATTAGCAGCAACTGCAACAACTTTTAAATCTGGCATTATTTTAAGAGTTTTTGGAAATCTATTCTCTTAGAGACTCAGCTTTCAGCCATTTTTCCTTTTCTCTGATCTTGTAGCTGGTTTAGCATCTGCACCACATTATTTAGCATTTAACTGTACCTCTCTTGTATTGGGTCCTCATCAAATCATCATTAGTTTTGGCATTTCAACTAAATTGTAGGTTCTTGGAGGGCAAAAATTTGCCTGATGCCTAATACATAGTAAACATTAAGTAGGTTTTACAAATGGCTGACATAATAAAGGGGTCTGAAACAAAGTGATTTTTGTCAAAACAAAGCTCCATGTTTTATGTCTCTGGCTTGGAAGTATGGAGCAGATTTCATTTCTTTCTTTCTTTTTTTTTTTTTTGGTGGAACCGGGGATCAAACTCAGGCCCTTGAGCTTGCCAGGGAAGCGCTTATTCCACTGAGCCATCTCCCCAGCCCTTAGATTTCATTTCTTAACACCATGAGTACTCTGTGTGTGTGTGTGTGTGTGTGTGTGTGTGTGTGTGTGTGTGTGCTCTCGCGCGCATGCTCACGTGTTTGAGGCAGGATCTTGCTTTGTAATTCAGGATGCTCCCAACTTTGCAGCAATCTTCCTGGCTCAGCCTTAGTGCTGGGATTATAGGCATTTGCCACCACCTCTGGGCCAGTGACTACTTTTTTGAAGGCATTTATTGTCTATATCAGCTCCTACTTGATCTATGAATTTAGGTTCAATTTGTTCATATAAAAATCTTCTTATCTAAGCTTCTTGTTCACTTCTTGTAAATGTATTTTGTATTTCAAGAGAACTTAAAAGAGAAATCTGATGACTATAAGTGGGCTTTCAAGTGCAGTGGCATTTCTGTTTATGTATGTAGACATGTATTTATTTTTTGATAGGTAAGAAGAAGGGAGGATGGGAAAACCACACTTTGGTTAGAACAGAGGTGAGAAGATCTTGGTCCTTCCCCCAATTCCTAAACTTTGCTTACAAACCATTTCATCATTTAAGTTTGTACAGGCATGGAGAGAGTCTGGTGTTCAGTGAGGAGGGAAATAATCCACTACTGAAGGTTTTGTTGGCTGTCATAAAACCTAACGAGAAAATGAGATGCAAAGAGTCTCAGTTTAGAGTTTGGAATGACAAGTTTTCAGTCTGGGGGAAATCAGCACCACCTTCTCTTTTGGAAAGCTATAGTAACAATGCCTGAGGGACAGCCTCGGTTTACTTTGTATATTTCCACCTTTGCCTTTCATTTTATACTTATGACCCTTGAGCTTTGAAGATTTTTTCCATCAGAAGAACTGTACGAACTGAAAGATCAAGAAGCTGTGAACAAACTTTTGTGTGTATTGCATTTAAAGCTACTTAGGAGAGGGGATGCAGAGTCAGGGAATCATTAATGTTGGGATTCTAGAATTTAAAAAAGAAAAAAGAAAGAGAGAAAAACAAAGGAAGGAAGAAAGGAAGGAAGGAAGAAAAAAAGAAAAGGAAGGAAAGAAGGAAGGAAGGAGGGAAGGAAGGAAAGTCATCACAAATACACGTGGCCATTCTTTTGAAATGCTGCTCTTTTTGAAAAATCTACCAAGATTTTTCTTTGAGCATTCTTCATGTTGTAAATAAATTCTTTCTTTCAGGAAGAACGTGTCAGTATAGTAAGGAAAAAACCAAATTCCACCCTTCAATGGAACATCCTCACTTACTTTTGTTTGAGGTATGAAAGATTAAGATAATAAGTAACTGCTGAGGATAATTTAGAAATGGAAGGCTAGATTTCAGCACTCAAAATTAGGAAATTGTGGTGAATTGGATTCTTGGAGAAAGTTGCTTAAGAAAATCTTTTAACCTTTAGTGAATATTTTTCACTTGTATTTTTTAATTTTAGGAGACTGAAAAAATCATTGCTTTTCAAAATAGCTTGCATTGCAGGATTGCCATAAGGAATGTCAACTCTCCTTCTTCACTATTGAAATTATAGAATGTTAAGGTGATAAACAAGATCTGACTTGACCTCAGAGTATAACAGTAGACCAGCAGGAGGGTATAGGAGAAGTGGTTCTGGTGGAAGTTGACCTTTCATTTGTTTTAAATCTACCCTCTCCAATACTAGGTATTGGGCCCAGGGCCTTCACACTGAGCTACATCACTTGCCTTTATTTCTTTTCCTATCCTTTCCTTTCTTTTCCATTCCATCTCTGGCTCTGGCTCTGGGTCTTTGCTTCTCTGTCTTTCTCTTTTTTCATTTTAAGACAGGTCTTGCTGAATTGCCAGGCTGGATTCCAACTCTGTATTCTGCCTCAACCTTCTGGGGTTACAGGTATATGTAGCCACTCCTAGGTATTAACTGCTTTTATTTCAAGTGAGCTAAATTTAGACATAGGAATATCTTAAGAAATCTAACACACTAGTAGGGACGTGGAAGTGCAGGTCTATAATCCCAGGACTCTGGATGGCTGAAATGAGACCAGAGGTCTCAAGCTCAAGCCCTGGGCAATTTAGTGATCTACTGAGACACTGTCTCAAAATTAAAAATAACAAAGATTTGGGGTGAAAGCTCAATGTGAAGACCTTGGATTTAATATAGAATCAATATAGAAAAAGGAAGTAAAATCTCCAGTATCTTTTAAACACTAAAACTGAAGAGGATATGTTTTTTAATGAAGATTTCACAATTATTACTCTTTATATTGTAAAGTGGACTTTTCCCCAGTTGCCCAACATGTGCCAAACTCTAGCAGAACCACAGTCTTAGTTTAGTTGGGCAAGATCATGTCAATTATCTGGAGTTAAAGCCTTTTCCAGTATTAATAACAATAACTAACATTTTATAGGGCTTTATAGTTTTATTAGTACTTTTATTCACATTATCTAATCTTCAAGATAATGCTTGGAGGTATTATGTACTATTATTGGTCCTGTGTCTCTGGATGTTGACATAAAAGTTGATGTTGGTTAAGCAATTTTCCCAGGATTAGTCAGAAAAGTGTTCTGTTTAGCAGTTCTTGGAACTTTTCTTATCCTTTCTCAACTTTTTCTAAAAGAAGTGTCCAGAAGCTTTTATTAAAGACAGATAGCAAAGAAAGCCAGGAACATTATAAGGAAGACCTATCAACTGTTATGTCTGGGGAGTCAACTCTGAACTCCCACTCCCTAGATACGGCAGGATTATGGCAGGAACACCTCCCATGTGTTCCCAAGGCCCCTAGGTGTACATTTCTAAAGTCAGTACCAGTCTGTGCTGCAGATTCATCTCTGAGTTTCAGACTGAGGAAAATCACTGAACATCAAATTTAAGAAAGAGAAAAGCCAATGAGTTTTTCTTCTTCTTCTTCTTCTTCTTCTTCTTCTTCTTCTTCTTCTTCTTCTTCTTCTTCTTCTTCTTCTTCTTCTTCTCCTCCTCCTCCTCCTCCTCCTCC